CTATATGGATAGATGGTGATCTAATTTAATATCTGTTATGCATTGTGTCTGTGTGTACAAATATAAAAAATCAATATTATAGAAGTAGATATTAAAAACATTTAAAACAAGGCAGCCTGAGCCTGCTCCCCTGTACAGCAGTGCAGAATGTGCCCATGCTTCCAGCAGGAGTGAGAACAGAGACTCAGCACAGACATCAGAGGGAAAATCTGGGGTAACTCCGTTTGAATTCCTCTAAGGAGGTTTGTCACTGATGGGGTAAGGAAGAGCAGGACAATCTCCCAGGCTCAGCCACAGGTGGGGGAGAGGAGTGACACCAGATCAGTGTCCAGCCCTGATCCTGCCTCTGATGTCACACACAGGGAGGGCCAGAGTGGCTGTTGGAGCTGTTGGGGACACAGAGACATTCCTGACTGTCCCCTGTTCACAGGGAGCTGCCCTGCAAGGACCCCAGGGCTCCAAGGGTCTGCATGCGCCCTCCTATCCAAGGGCTCCTGCTCCCTGCCAGCTTTCTCCTTAAGCTTCCCCATCCCTGGAAGTGTTACAGGCCAGGCTGAATGTGGCTCTGAGCACCCTGGGATAGTGGAAGGTGTCCCTGCCCGTGGCAGGGAGTGGGATGAGATGAGCTTTAAGGTCCTTTCCAATTCAAACCATTCTGGGATTCTATGATCTCCCATTTTCTATAAAACCCTACCAGTATTAAAAAGGGATGAACTGGAGAGAAGCAGCTTCCCAGACTTCAGTACTTCTACCCAGTTCCTCTACTTCCCCAACATTTTAATAAACAAGGAAGCTTTTCTGCCCCTTCAGTTCCCGTTACTGGGCTTTGCAAGAATCTTCACACTTCTGGTAATCCTTGGCCTGGTCCAGGCATGCTGGGCTTTTCCAGCAAGACCTGGAATCTCCCTGAGCTCTTTAGCACTAATGTAGTATTTTAGCTTGCCTCATTCTACAAAGCAAAAGAGACAGAGCAAATGAAAATACTACTTAAAGTTTAAATCAGCTCTTAACACCTCTACCCTGCTCTCCCTTGCCTCTGGGCTACAAGCCAGTGACAACTGCAGCTACCTCCTGCTGGATTTTTAACAACATTAAATAGAAAAGCAGGAAAAAGACAAGACAAGAAGTGGGAAGGATTGGATAAAATCTCTCTTGGCCTGGTGCAGGCTCTGGGAAGGGGCAGCTCTCTGCACCTGCATGCCCAGCTCACGGCACAGGAGCCACAGGGAGAGCAGAGCAGAGCTTCCTGCTGATCATCTCCAGCGTGCCAGGGGATGTGGGAGTGTCATTCAAACTCAGAAGGTCAGCTAAACCTTCAGAAATGCTCCTGCTACTGTTCCCACAAGCAGCTCTTCTGTGTGCAGCCCGTGGTGCTGGCTGGAGGTGCAGGACTCTTGGAGTGGGGGCTGTGCTCCTCCTTGGGAGGGTGCACGGTCCCCCGAGGGGATGGGGGCCAGCAGGGACACTCGGGGCTGGGTCACCTCGCCCTGTTCCCCGCGGGGTCATTCCCCTCTGTGCCACGGGAGGCTCGTCTGAGCCCGGAGCGCTGGGGCACAGCTTCACCCTGCCTTGTGCCACCTGGAGCGGCGGGAGAGGCAGGCGGGCTGTGCAGCCTCCCGGGGGATGTGCGGCAGCAGAAGGCATCTCCTCTCCCCTGCGAGAGCAGCCCGAGCCCGGCACAGCCCCAGCTGCTCTCCAGGAGCCATGGCAACTGCGGGCAGCTGCCGGAGGGACAGCCGGCCTGCCAAAGCTAAAGCAGCACTGACACCTTCAGGAGAGGGGAGGCGAAGCTCAGCACCAGCCTCGCCTTGTCTTTTCCCTGCTGCGGGGCTCAGAGCCTACTTGGGAGGAGCTTCCTTCTGGGGCTGGTTCCTGCGATCCAGCTTGCTCATGACCTGCGTGATGTCCACGGTGTTGGCGGCTTCTCTGGCTTTGGCCTCTTCCTCCTGCTGCCTCAGGATGATGGGGCTGGGGCTGGAGCGGAGGTGGCGGCGCCCGAACAAACCCGTGCTGGGCAGAGAGAAGGGAAGGAGAGGGGGTCAGTGAGGAGAAGGGCACCAAAACCTCCATCCCAGGAAGCAAAGTCACCCAAGAGGACAAGCTCGGACACAGAGATGGCCAGAGGAGTGCAAAATGCTTTAAACGGCGCTGGGTGACTCAGTGTCACACACAAGCTACAGAACTGCTAGAAATATAAAAGTCCTGCTCCTGAGGGACTCCAGGGCCCACCCACATCACTCCTTTCTTGTGTTTGCACATAACTCACACTAGGTGTGAAGCCAAACAACTCCCACCCGTGGAATTTTCTCCAGTGCCCAAAGGAAGATCAAGGCAGGCAGCAGTACGGGTGTTTCTGGTGTCTGTGATGTCCCCAAAAAGTACCCAACACCTGCTTCAGCAAAGCACCTTCCCCAGCAGTGGGAACAGCTGCCAACCCACCTCGGGATGAGGTACCAGCTCCAGGTTAATGGGATGCTGAGGTTTGGGGGATCCAGAACAAGCACTGACAAACACCAAGGCAGGATCACTGGGATCAGCCACCGTGTACCAGTGACCTTGTGATGTGTGGCTCAGGGAAAAACTGACCAAACCCCAGGCCAGTCAGCAGCAGGGCTTTTTCCAGACTTGAAACAGGCTTTAGATGAAACAACAGTGTGAAAGCCCACGATTCCTCTTTCTTGCCTGCTGAGTTGATGGGTGGAAGTGGAACAGAGAAAGAAACACCACCCCCAGTCTAGCACTGCACACTCGGCTTTAGGAGCAGCTGCAGTTTAAATGGCCTACTGGTGTTACGGCATAACCTTCATTTTCCTGGGAAAAAGTCGTTTCCAAGGCCATCCACCTTGTGCCAGCTGTCACTCACAGGGTGCTGCTTGATCCCACTTGCCTGTCCCCTTTCCTTACACCAGGGGTGAGCAGCTTTGTCCAGGCAGAGCTGAGCAGATCCCGTGGATTATCCCAAACCTTGGTTCTGTCTCTGCTCTGGCAGCCAGTGTTTCATGGGCAGTTGTTTTCCCATGCCCAGGACACCAGAACGCTCTCTTTCCAGGAAAGGAGCCATGATTTAGTTCAACAATCACAACCTTTCTCAGCAGACCCACCAGAGAAGGCAGCTGAGAAATCAGCAGCTCCATTCCAACTGTTCACAAGCCACTTCCAAAGGGCTCATGAATAAACAGCACCATCAGTCTCAAAGCAAAGCATCTTCTCAGTGCAAAATTTTATTTAATTAAGAGAACATCTAAATCATAGTAATTTTGCTGCAACTTGGGCTTTTTCTACCCTTGCTACAACAAGAAAAACAAACCCCACAATTACAGCCAGTTTCACTTGCCTTTTTTTGACACCCTCTTGTGGCACAACAGCCTTGGCCAGCATTTCCTTGTATATTGGAGACTTTAAATAGCGGCCATAGGAGTCCTACTAGGAGAAAAAAGAGAAGCTGGTAGTTATGGGCTGCAAACACCCTTATTAAAATCACCACCAAATACAGCTGCTCAGGAGCCAGGGAGGCTGGGAACTGGATAATCTCCCCCAGCAGCCCAAGGGACTTTGCATCTTTCAGGCAAATGTAGCTATTTAAACCAATATCCTTTCATCTTGCTGTAAAATTCCCAGGATTTTCCATCTCACAATAAAGCCTCACAGGTAAGACCCAGATCAAAAGATCTGAATGAAGCTTAGCCTGGGCCAGCAGGGTCTCAGAGTCACTGCAAGGTGAGGAGCTTGTGTTCCAGGAGCCAAACTTTCCATCAACAGGTGAAAATCAGTCTGGTTCTGCTGCTTTCAGTGCATGAGCTGGTGCACAAGCTGGAATTGAAAAGCAGGACTTGCAGCAGCCACCTGACCCCCACCACCTTGGGGACAGGCTGCCTTAGAGGGAAGAAGCAGCAGCAAAACACAAATGCCTGAAGCAGCACTTGCTTAACTCAGCAAATTTGAGGGATTTTCAAACAAAGGCCCCTTGAAAGGGACAGCTGATAGCACACAAAGGCACTGAAAGGCCTGGAGGGCTGGAATCCCCCTCAGGCTCTGGAAACAAATAACAAACCTTTTTCATCAGCATGTAAATGTGGGTCTGAGCAGCATCTAGAACATAACGATGAGGGTGCTCCAGGCCTTTGACTGTGATGCCCATTGTTTTGCCATCGATGTTAATCCAGCGCCTTGCTCCTGGAGCCAGGAAGAGCCTGCCAGGAGGAGGAATCAACAGTGCCATTAGCAGCTGGAGAATTCACAGATTCCTGCCTATGCATGAAAGGAAAAGTCCCTTCAGCTCCCTGCTGCAATTTGCTGTCCTGATCTTGGGCAATCAATGTGCTTTTCATCAGAGATGTGCACTCACTTCCTCTTGCACATAATACAAGCCAAATTTTAGCTCACTGGAAGCAAAAAGCCTCTCCCCACTTGTGGCAGCCTCAAGAACTTTGCTGTTCCACACCAATATTTAAATTACATCCTAAGAATGAAATGTAACAGAGAACAGGGAGGAAAAGTATATATATATATATATATATATAAACCTCACTTCTACTTTCATCTCCAAAAGCTCCTTTCCTATGTGGGGACAAAAGACAGCCACATCTGATAACAGACTACATGTAAAAATCTTAGGAATAAATCATTTGGAGAATGAGAACTTGTGGAAGGTGATGGGACTCATGCACAAAGAGTTTAAGAGTGGAAAATCTTCACACTCACTTGTAGATTTCTTCTGCTTTTTCTTTGACCTTGGATTGGTCTCCATACTTGAGATCCTCACAGGCTTCCCAGAAACCCAGATTCTCTCCTGCATGACAAGGACACAATCAGCAGAGAGTGAGACTGAGGAAAACACAATCCCATTTATTAACTCTTGGATTTGTTTGGCGCCATTTGTTGGCCCCAAACCAGCCTCTCCAATTCTTCAATGACTGCAAGAGGAAAACAGCTTTCCCCTGTTTTCCCACTGACACCTCTAAGAACTTGTGAGCTCAGCCAGTTCCAGCTTCTGTGGGAGCAGTCACAGAACCATGGAATGTTTTGGGGTGGAAGGGACCTGAAAGTCCATCTCATTCCCATGGCAGGGACACCTTCCAAGCCCTGTCTGATGTGGCCTTGGACACCTCCAGGGCTCCAGGGGCAGCCACAGCTCCTCTGTACACCCTGTGCCAGGGCCTGCCCACCCTCACAGGGAACAATTCCTTCCTGAAACGCCATCCAAACCCTCCCAGCCGATCCCCCGGGGGGGACAGCCCGGGCTGTACCGTGTGTCCCGTGCCACTAGATGGTACCGCCTGCCCTGGCTGCACAGCCTGCAGCAGCCTTGTGCCACTGCCACCTCGGCCTGGGCACAAAGGCACGGAGCCACTGCCCACCCACCGCTGAACTCCTTCTTCAGGAAGAGCTGGAAGTTCTGGCGGCCTTTGGGGTCCCGGATCAGCTCGCTGAAGTTGAAGGCCCATCGCTCCACGCGCATCCTGGTGGGCACCTCTACCCTGCGCGGGGAGAAAACAAGCAGCACCGCTGCTTTCTCTAATTAGCAGATTAATTAAAACCAAAATGCCCTTTGCTGCAATGCCAAGGGACTTCTCAGCATTCTCTTGTTTTCCAGAGTGGTGTAATGAGCTCCTGAAGTCAACCCACTAAGTAAGTTGTAATTAAACAACTCGGGCCGCAGCAGGATGAGGATTTAACTGGGATTTATGCAGCTCTCACAGTGACAGCCCAGCCTTGCCCTGAGGTTTGACTCACTCAGTCCCATCCTGGAGGAGGCACTGGTTGCTGCCCAGAGCTTTGCTTCTCATGAAGGCATCCAGTGCAGGCATCCCCTGGGGATGTCTAATGGGATGCAATCAGTCCATAACAGGATTGCTGCTCTCAGAACCACTGAGATGTTGGATGCTCCAAGCCCCAAGATGCCACTGTGTAATTAGCAAATCCTATCCAAAGGGAAAGCCAAGGGAGGCCTCAGAGAAGGGTTGGACCACACATCCCTGTGTGCTTCTCCTGAGGAGTGAGCAAAGACCCAGGGGAGCAGCTGAACCCTGAGCTGCTCCTGTTCATTCCTGTGCTAGTGAAGGTGGGCTTCACTCATCCAAGGGGAGGATCAGACCCACTCAGCAAGGGCTGAGTGCACACTCCCATCATCAGCTCAGGAATTTCTGTGATGCTAAGGAAGGCTCCACTTGAAGAAGGCAGTGCTGAAAGTTCAGCATGGAGTACTCCCAATTTCAAAAAAGGTTTGAAAGGAAACGCTTCTCTGCTCCTGATCAGAGATCAGATACCACAAGGAAAATCAGTGGCTCCCTTTCCTGATTTCTATCAGTATAAAGGTCACTGTAAACCACAGGCTGGCAAAACAACAGAAATACATACAGCTTTGCATTGAGATCCCAAAACTCAGGGTCATCTGATATCCAAGGGTTGCTGGGGAGACATCCAGACAGGATTGGATCATTGGAGAGGAACTGCTCAGAGTACTTCACAACACTGCAACAAATCCAAAATCAAAACAATTGATGAATTTGGAATTTGGAAGCTGGAATTACAGCCAGCCCCATCACAGCCAAATAACAGATTCCAGATATCCTCAGAGGTGCAGACTCTCAGCACAGGGATCTGGAACATGGCCCCTGCCTTCCTAGATTCATTAGCTCAGTTAATCTTTTCCATTTCCCAACAGAAGTCTCCTGGTTGTCTTTCGAAGCAGTGAATTTGTCAATTCAAACACAAGGAGATACAAGACCCTCTTCCATCACCTCTTTTTGCCTTTTCATTTTAAGGAAGGGGGACTAAGCCCCCAGACAGTTCCTGTCTCCTGTTCTCAGCTGGCCAGGGCCTGATCCTCCACTGTTCCAGGAGGAAAGTGTCAGGGAAAGGAACACAAGGCTTGTGTACTCTCAGGTGGATTCTCTGCAGCTTTCCCACAAGCCATGGGAGAACTCAGGGAGCTCTGGAAAAGTGAGGGAATGCTGAGTGCTCATCCCAGCTTCTCCCTTCCTCCATCACCTACCACAGGGCTCATTCCTCTGCAAGTGGCTCTGAGGGCTTGGCAATCAGCAGAACTGTCTCCCTCCCAGCAGGAACCAGACAAACACTTCTCCTACCTTCTAACTTGGCCAGACTTCTAATTACAACCGATTTCACTAATGTCCTGGAATTTTAGCTCCCGCCTCCCTTTTTAATTCTTAAAAAGAAAAAAACAAAACCCCTCTGGTTTCTGCGTTTAAAATTCCTTCCAGGCCAAAATGCTTTCATGTGCTCAGAGCTGGGAGCGCAGTGTCCAGGGGCCCATTGCTAACAGGCCCTTTGGCCCAGATCCTGCAGTCAGACCATGCCAGAGCAAACCACAGCGCTGGCACACAGCTGCTCCATCCTGCCTTCCCACTGGGAATGCCAAGGCATCCAGCACCTGCACCAGGCACTCCAGCCCGTATATTCTGATCAAGCAGATCTGAACCTGTCAGCTCAGGTAGCACTGCTATGTGCTCTTGAAGTGCTTTGCAGCTTCTCCTAAATCACAGCCATGCTCTGAAGCATGCACAATGCCCAGTCACTGCTCATATCCTCATTAATAATAATTTGATTTGGACCCAACCCTGCAGCTGACACAGAGTTCCAAAGTTCCTGAGATTTTTGATCTAAGTGATAGGCATTATCCCACCAGAACTAATGAGAGAAAAGCCCCACTGCTGAACAGTTAGGCACCACAAAATTCCTGGAGAGTAGCCAGGTGTCCCCAGCTGCAGCTCAGAGTTTGGAGAATTGAGGCAGCAGAGTTTTCAGTGACCTGGGAGTCAGTGACAGACAAACTGAGGAGAGCTGCTGGTGCCCCGCAAGTTGTGGCTCTCAGAAAATTCTCTCTTCCACCCATTCCATTCATCCAAGACTGTCTTCTCCAGGGAACTGGCCTGAGCACCTTGTTTATTTCAGCTGTGATAGGAATCTCTGGTGGCAATGACAGTGTGAAGCAGGCAGGTGCTCTGGGCTGCACCTCAAGGTGCCTGGTCAGCACCAGAGGTTCCAGGCAGAAATGCCTCTGGCAAACACATCAGTGCCTAATGCCAGGGCTGGATGCTTCATCAAGAACCTGATCAGGAAACACTCCCACTGGGAAGGGAAATTGCTAATTAATTGCTTGGGTGTTCATGGAGGGGCTGTTTCCCTCTGCAGTACAGAATAACCAGAGGTGAGCATCACCGTGGGGCAGGGACACTCATGGAGGTAAATCCAGCCCAGGGTGGGGACCAGGGACAGGAGGGTCAGTCTGTCCTGCTGGTTGCTCCTCCTGAAGGTCAGACACACTGCTGGATCCTCCCCTGGCTGCAGGGGGACCAGGCATCACAGATGTCAGCATCTCCTGATTTCAGTGGGATCCTCAGCCCAGAGGCTGGTGCTGCTCTACAGCAAAGCCCCCAGAGAGCCTCTTCATCCTGCCTGGGCCTCTGATCCCTCCTCAGCCTCGTGCCTCCTGGCCCAGACAGCACTGGGCCACCACATGGATTCCCTGGCTGAGTCACCAGCTGCCACAGCAGACAGCTTCATCAGCTCATTAGGAGATAAGCACTGAAGACTAATTAATGTGTGGACAGAAGGAAATCAGGACTTACCCTCCAAGAGAGACAGAAGATTTCACTCTGGTCTTCATGATGGCCTGCTGATAGTACATGATCTGAGGGGATCAGACATGGTCATGGTTAGGAGCATGGAGGTTTGAAGATAAGACCTATCTAAACCTCAAACAGGTTCTCTCCCAGGTAGTGGGGCTAATTACAGCAGGGACTGCTTCTTCCCTAATTACTGGATGTCCAAGGAACCAGAGAATCCCTGAATTGTCTCAGTAAAATGTCTGTTTTCACTGAGCTTACTGCAAACATCAGAAGCACACTTTGCAATGTGCAAGTAATTAAAAAGCACTCCCCATGTTATATAGAAATTGAATAATAGCTACCATCCTCAGCACCTACAAATGCTCTGGATGATTTAGCATGTAATTATCATTGATTCTTGGCTGTCTCTGTGCTGGCGCCACTGTGATTTCCCCACCACTAATTTTGATCTATTGGATTTCAGCCCTGGTGTCTGTCCTTGCCTGAGCCTTCCCGTCACTGGGAGAGCTGCTGGCTGCCTGCAGTGGGAGGGAATGTCCTGAAATTACATTGATAAAAGCTCCATGAGGCAGGGATTCTGCTTTTCAGAGTGCCCAGCCCCTGCACAGAGGGCTTCGAGCCACACTGGTGTAAGCAACCCATAGAGGATGAACACCGAGAAGTGAGGGAAGCACCACTTACCTCTCTCCTATAGAATTCCATAGTATTTTTCTGTAATATATATAAAAAAAAGAATCATTAAATTGGGATAGGTGCTTACATTTGCTTTTTTTTTTTTTAAGACATGGAAACACCGTTGCAGGGCTGCCGTTGTGCAGCGCTTTCCAATTAATTCTGATTACAATTAAAATCAAACACAGCAGCTGAGCTAATCAGGGTATCATCAAAGCTAAGAGCATCCCCACACGGTAAATTGTCCCATTAGCTGTATTTACTGTTTAGCATTGCTTCTCCCATCACAGGCTGCCTGTATGCCTTCAATTAAGGGGTTATTCTAATGGAGCTAAAATAGATTCATTTACGAGACACAGATTAGATCATTCAATATTAGCTAAAGGAGACAGGAACCAACACATTGCAAAATATAAACACCACAATTAAAAGCCTCAGAAGCAGTATCTGCTGTGCAAAGGGTGTTTACGTTGTGATTTGAATAACTCAGACTATGTTACGTGTCATCCACAAATGAGCAGGCAATCGAAGGCAAGAAATTAACTGCAGGGTGTTTATTCACACAGCTTCCTTTGAAGCACAGTTATTTGTGTGGAATAAACTGGAGAAGGGAGAAGGGAAGACAGGCTAACTCAGGGATGCTCCCAGCAAGCCTTTAAAGGCTCAGGCAGGGTTTCAGTTCCTCAGCTCCCGTTTCAGTCAAGACCTGCATCCTAAAATGGTCCTGTTAAATGAACCCTGTGGCAGGCAGGGGTCTGCAGAGTGCCTTGGTGAAGTGCAGTTTGTGAGGGATGAGGGATGGAGATTCTGCTACTGAATGCCACAGGCAGCTCTGCTCTCTGCTCACCTCCCCAGAGACCCCGAAGTGCCCCTTCTGGGACAGGCAAGATGCTCTCCCAGGGTGAGGAGACCACTGTGGGGACACTGATCTGCTTTTGCACTTTAACCAGCGTCACCAGGCCTGCTCAGGAGGGAGAAACTCTTCTCCACATGGCAGAAAACAGGCACATTTTGCTGACACTTGGTTCTGAGAGGCCCACTCACCATTTCAGCAGCAGGAGCCAGAAATGCAGCAGATGAGCCCAATCCCTACAGCACCACCACAGAGCCAGCCCTGACCCTGACCCAGACCCAGCCTGGAACCAAAAAAAAAACCCTCACAGTGGTATTGTGAGGGGAGGAAGCTTTTCCTGCTGGGAATGCCATGACCAGCTCTGAGTGGGCAGCACAGAACATCCCAGCAGGGACAAACAGGGCAGCAAAAACCAGCAGTGATGCTGTGCTGGCCCTGTGTGAGAGGGGGAAAGGACTGACACACCAGGGGAGAGAAAAAGCTCTAGGACTGCAGGATCATTGCTCCCAGGGCTGTACAACCTCCCCTGCTGATTCACAAGCTCTTGGGACACCCTTATAGATGATGGAAGAACTGAGGAACAGCTTTTCACCCTTCTCTGCTCTTAGCTGCATCCCTGATTCCAGGCCACTTTCCATAGACACCATTTCTTCCCCTCATTTCTACAGTGCCATTGTTTCAGACAGACTGCAGAAATGGAAGGGAAAAATCACCTGCTTGCACAGAGAAATTTATTGTATTAACAGTCCTAAAGTGTGCTGTTTAGAGACCTGTGTTTCTGCTCCAGGCCAGCTGCCTCCTGCACAACAGGAACTCACTGTCTCCTTGGGGAATCTGAGATATAAACCAGATAAACCTCATCAGATTTACAAGTGCCAGCCAAAGGGTTCCATTTGATGGAACTTGTGGCTAGAGCATTGATTTCAACACGTTAAAATCATTTTTAAAAAGCCTATTTTCTTCCACTTTTTTTCTCAGCTGGGGCCTCAGACAGGCCTGGTGCAGTGGGGAAGGAGAAGTGGGTGCTGGCACAGTGGCTTGAAGGCAGCTCATGTGGCAGGAAAGTGGTGTTATCTTCTAGAGGGGTCTGAGAGGCTGCCAGCACACCACACACACGAGACAAACAGCTGTGGGAAAGAGAAAGAGAACACAGTGAGTGAAATGTTATATAGAGACAAAAAAGCATCAGTTAAAATGCCATCACAACAGACAAATTATATGTGGGTGAAGAAAAATCCACAAACAAGGGAAGATTTTATTTTTTCACACGCCCCCCACAGCAAGGATCCCCTCCTGCCACAGTCTGTGTGAAGATCAGTGTGGTGGGCAGCTGCCCCAAGGAAAACAAGGTGGGGTTTTGCTGGGGTCTTGGTGCTCCAGGTGGGATGGGAATTTGTCAAGGCTCCCCCAGAGAAGGGGCTGAGCATCTCTGAGCGGTGGCACAAACTGAACTGCAGCCAAATCCAAGGGGAGCCCACTGCTGAACACCCTGGGAGGCTGCAGGTGCTGCCTGTGCTCAGCCCCTTCCAGTTCCCCAGTCAGCAGTAACTGGGAAGAATCTCAACTATTTCACCCCAGAGCTGCTCACCATTTCATTTCCCTTTCTCCCACAGTGCCCCCACATCCAGTTCCCAGTTCAGTGCTGCTGCAAGTGGCCCTGAGCACCCTCCATGTCCCTCTGAGCACTGCCAGCTGTCCCCAGCAGCCAGCCACCCTTGCCCCCACTATGACTGCAGCAGTGCAAAGTGCCCTGCACCACCCACCCACTCTGCCTCATTTGGAAGGAAATCATATTTGGAACAAAAGAGTTGTTTCTCATAATGAGATTAATTTTGCAATGCCCTTAACGAGTGACTTATCGCAATTACTGCAGATCAGCTCCCCAGCCCCGCGGGCTTCAAATCAAGATGGCAATTAGTGAAAGGCCTCAGTCTGTCTCAGGCGAGTGCCACAAGCTGTTCCACATCCTCTGACACCCCCGAGACACCCCATGGCACTGGGACACCCTGCCTGCCCTGGTCACACCCCACTGCCACCAGCTCTGTGCTCCCTGGGCACTGGGGCTGCAGAGCCAGACAGAACCTGCTCCAGAGCTGATCCACATGGCTGAGGCCACCAACTCCTACAGGAGCTGGGATATCTGCTAATTCCCAGCTACCTGTTTGCTCCTCTGCTCAGTGTGAGGCTTCCTGACCACACTGGGGAGATGATGGTCATGGTGTTTTTGCCTGCCTGGCCACTGTTCCCTGTTTACAGAGCTCATAAACACCTGGAAACAGCTTTGGGTGGATGCCTGGAAGGAGCTGGGGGTGAAGAACAAGCACAAGGCTGTGCAGAGCTTGTTTGGGACCAGGACACTGCAGATCCCACCCTCCATCTGCCCTGAGTGCTCCACAGCAGGCTGAGGCTGTGCAGGGAATTGGACACTGAGCATGGGGCAGAACCAGCCCAGCTTCTCTCCAAAGCTCTGGGCAAGCAAGACCTGCCTCTCCAAGCCTGCAAAGTGCACCCCAGCACACACCCCAGCATCCCTGCTCAGTGCAGAGCCAGCCTTTCCCTACACCCAGCCAGCCGAGAGCCTGCAGAGGCAAATCCTCTGGGATTAGATCATCTCAACACTCATCTCCACTGTGCTGGTGCATCCAGCCCTGTAGCTGGAAATCGAATCTGCCACAGTCCATGCAGCCAGTTTTGTTCAAATGGCCATTTTTCCCCTTTGTTTATCTGCCCCTGACCCTGTGCTTTCCAAATTTGTGATGATGCAGCAGAACTTTATCAGGCAAACTGACAGGGACTTATGAAATTAAAGGCCAGTGATGGCTCGTTGATCTGTGGCTGATTTGCTGCACACAACAAACCAGGGCATTTCATTCAGCAGCCCCTGAAGCCAGCACAGTGATTTTTTGGGGGAGCTGAAGCACCCTTCAGAAAAGCTCTGATTCCAGGAGGCAGAGGCTGCGCAGGTTCCTGCAGGCACTCACTGGTCATTCTCAAGGAGAGAGGTTTGATGAGAGCCTGAAATCCAGGCAACAAAAAGCTAAAGCATCCCTTAATTAGCAATTCAATGGGTGGCTACTTCTGCCTGACTCCTCCTGCCCATCCACAACCCCTAACTCGTTATAACCACGAGGGATGCCCATGGATCAGTTATAAAAGTCCCCTTCAAAGGAGTTTGACCACTTGTTTATCCCCAGAGGACTCTATCTGTGAGGGAGGGAGCAGCTCACCAAAGGGTCTGAGCAAGAGGAGAGATGTTCATGCTAATGTCAGCTTCAAAGAAATCAGAGATTCATTCTTTTCTTTCCTTTCTCAACTGCCAAGATAAAAACCCCAATTATTCATGCAAAGTGAAGGTGGGCTGAGCAGGAACAGGGACACAAAATCATTGCTTGGCCCATTCTTTCTGCTCACCAAAGGCTGCTGAGCCACAGGTGTTGGTGAGAGCAGCCTGCAGAGGACAAAAATAAATCTGCCAGTCCAAAGGTGGCTCCATGAGGGCTCTTGGCTCTCTCATGTATTCTCAATCACTCATTCAAAAGCAAAAGGAGGAGCAAGGAGAACCTTCCCTTTTCAGCTTAGACCCCAGCTTAATGGAGAAGGGCAGGGAAGTCACCTCACAGCTGGTGTCCTTTGGCTCCTGCCCTCCTTGGAGCCTCCCCTGATGGGGGGAACTGACCACATCTCTCATGGCCAGGGTGGAACCGGGCAGAGATCCCTCAGCTCCCCTCCCCTGTGCTACCACACAGCTGCTAGATGGATACAGCTCTTCAGACCGTTTGCAAACCTAAAATCCCTTCCATGTCAGCTGTAAAACTGTGGGCGAGAAGTTGGCTCACTCCTCTTTCTATCCTTCTCCCTTACCACTACTCCTTTACTTCTAAAAAAGAAAAAAAAAAGGTTTTCAGCAGCTGCTACTCACAGCAAGAAAAAAAAATAAAATACACCCCAACCCTACACTTTGCTCCTTTTCAGTCTCTATAGCAACAGAACACAGCTGGCCAAAGCAATTATCCTGCCTCTGGCTGCTGAGATGTCTAAAGGCTGTTACAAAAACGGGAAGTTGTGGGAATACTGTGAGTGTGGCAGCAGCAACATTTGCATTGAATTGCTGAGACATGCTTTGACTTTGCTTCCAAATGAACACCTTTAAGGGCACAAAGAATCATCTCAGAGGGTTGATGGGGAAAGGGAACAGCAGCTCCAGCTCCTCATCCACTGACTGGATCTGTGTGATTTCAGACCCCAAACCAGCTCACCCTCATGGTCCCAGTTCATTGATTCTGTTTCTTTACAATATGCATTTTCTGGCAACATTTTGTACCTCCTATCCACCACACCAACGTCTTCATCTTCTTTACACATCTTAATTACCCTTTGGGAGGTATTCTGTAATTTTATTTTAAACCTGGATCTTTGCACTGACCCTTTACACCCCACAAAGTTCATTCAGCACTAATAAAAAGGCAGCAAGGAACACCTGGAGATAGAAATTCCTTAATTCAGTTTCACCAGCAAAGAAAACATATCCTGCAGCCAAGCACTCACTAACTGGTGTGGCAAGAAAGCTGACAAAGTCTTTTCAAGCCAGAAGAAGCTGCCACAGCCTATTTTGAGGGCCTCACCTCCCAGGTGAGAGAGCTTCAACCTCTGGCCTGTTCAGCTGTTAGAGCTGAGCTGACACACTCAGCCTGCAGTGCCCAAAAAATGACAACCCCAGGGATATTTTCTGGGTCCTCCCAGACAAATTCAGTAGGTGTGTAAAAAAAGAACAACAACCCTGTCTCACCTGGTTTACCTTATTTTCATTGGGATCTGTGACACGGTCTAACCCGTACTCGAGGACGTCCAGCATGCCCGGCTGTGGTGAACAAGAAACAACAAAGCTCTGAAACTCATTTGGTTTAAAGGTTGTGGATCACACAAATGCAGGAGGAGACCCCCCAAGCCTCCACTGCCAGCAGATCCCAGCCAGCAGTGCCTTGGGAACCCCCAGATTTGGGAAGGCCCCTCTTCAAGCACGGGTGCTGCAGCCAGACCTCTGTCCCTTGCACCTTTGAGGGCAATCAAGGAAAGGTGGTGGGGACTCAGGGCAGGCCTGGGCTGACCCTTCCCTGGCACACAGCCCAGAGGCTGTGCCCTTTCCACATGGGAGCAGGGAAGTCACTGAAGTCACCCTGTCACCCTCTACTCACAGGAGTTCTGTTCACAAGCCAGTAGGCTCTCTCCTGGCAGTCCAGGGCGTACCTGTCCTCCTTCTTCCGCTCCTTCCCTGCCCTGCAAAGCCAAGAACAGGGGAATTCATGAATTTTGCCCTCCTAAAATCATGATAAGATGGGATGAGAAGCGGGGCACACCTCCAGTCTCCCGTGGGTCCCAGCTCCGATGCCTCCTCCTGACCACATCCTGCCCCAGCTAATTCTGGGCTGCAGATCATGTTCACATGGCCACACATGACTCTGGATTTTGAGAAATCATCATCTTCCTGAGCTGAGCTGGGAGCAGACACATCCCCTTTTGATTAGGCATGCAGCCTTCTGGTAGCTTTCTGCTGAGTTGCCCTGAGTCCTGCTGCTTCACGTCTGTTCCTGTCCTGTCCCCGGGCAGAATCCAAGGACTGCCACCCAGAGATAAATCCTGGACATGTCTCACCCCTGTCTCTCAGAAAAGCAGGGGCATTTCTCAGAGAAACTACTTGGAAATGGTTCTGAGCAGTGTTCCCAGGCACTAAAACCCAAATCACCTCCACAATTAAACAGAAGAGGCACTAGCATGGTTTGGGCTTGGACCAACTAATTCTTTCCCAGAAAAATCCTGAGCACAATTTGGGACTTAGAATGGAGAAGGGAGCATTCCCAACAGGCTGTTTGCATTTGGCCTCCCTGCTGTGGTTAGCAGGGTGGGTGCTCTGCACCAGTCTGCCCCAGCAGCACCATCAAACTGCCTCAGACGAGTTTAATCTACTGGTTCAGACACAGGCTGGGTATCTAACTTTGAAACTGCATTTGGCATCTCTTAGCCCAAGTCTGACCTCAATTTACAAGAACAACAGTCTTGTGTTTAATGAGACAGTTATCTGATGAGCTGTACTCCCAGGACTTGGCTGCCATCCCAGGGAAGACAGAGGCTGCTGAGCAGCAGAGGCACTGCCTGCCCTGCCAGCAGGTAAAGGAAGGTAAGAGGAGTCCACAGAAGTAGGAAAGATCCCAAAAGGAGTAATCCCATTTCATGTTCACCAACTTTCCTGGGAAGTGAAGGTTTCAGCTCCTAAAATCAAGTCATTTTAGCTGGGTGCCTAAGTATGCACTTCAGTTTTCTCCAGAAGTCCCTGCTGGGAGAATTTGCTGCTACTTGATTCACTCCCTTCAGCTGAGAGATGTGCAAGGAACCCCTGACCCACACCAAAACCAGGCCCCAAGTCCTGTCCACAAATACTCATGGAGAACACAGAGCTAAATCAAATTGCTTCTAATGAGGGCTTGCAGCATCAGAACCCAGCTTCTTCACAGAACCACATCAAGTGCAAAGCCTAAACCTCCCCTCCAAGCCATTTTAGAGCTGCAGTTGTTGTTTTTCAGGTGTGATTTAACTGTGCACCAAGACAGCCAAGCTCTGCTCCTCACACCCTCCCCAGTGATGTAAACAAGGGAATGCAAGTCAACTCACTTATACTGCTCCTTGGCCTGCATAATAACAAAATCCCACTTGTAGTTTATTTTTTGATTGAGCATGCTGTAATGTTCCTGGAATAAAAATAAAAAAGCAGTTAGTGTGAAAATTCTGACCAGGGCACTCCCATGCTGGGGTTTTCTTGACTCTCCATAGTTCAATGAGGCCAGGCTGGTGAATGAGCCAAGAAATCTGGATTGTTCTGAATGCAATTACAAGAATTGCAACAGTTCAAAAATACCATTGCAAGGAGAGCAATTACCCCTGCTAAAATTATAATTGACTTCACAGTAGTTTTCTGTACTGGTCTTTTTTTCACTTGCAAAATGCTGGTTTTTGACATTGCTGGAGTAACACCTCATGCAATTGAAGAGGTGATTTTTTGCTGTGCTCCTCTCATTAGCAACAAAGGGCTAAAGTTGTAGCAAATGAGGGTCTTGTAATGGAACAAGTGCAGTGTCTCCTCACCTTTTCATATTCTTCCAAAATCCCTTTCCTTTTAATGTTCTTCTTTGCTAGATAAATTGCTGTGGAGGCAGAAGCAAATTAGCAGTTATACTTAGACCAACACATCCAAGAATAATTACAAATTTACCCACATTTACAAACACAGGAGCCTTTGTGTGCTACAGTATCTTCCCAGGCATGAGCTCCAAGCTCACAAAAGCTCAGTGAAGAAGAAAGAACTCGGTGCTTTTGGTCTGACACTGATGCCCAGGCTGGGAGCAGCCAGGCAGAACAGGCAGCGTGTGCCTTCTGCCAGCAGCCACCCTTCCCCTGGGAACTCAGCCAGGCCTCCATGGGTCAAGGGACACTGGACCAAACCTTTCAGGTGTTGAGGTTCCCCAGAGTTTGACCTCCAAGTTTTCTGAGCACAGGGCAGTGGTTTTTGCTCCAGTTCTAATAAAAGCATTCCAGTCTAGACCAGGCTTTTTTATTTCCCCAGAAGATCTACAGCATAGTGCAGATAAAAGCCACAGAGGACAACCTTGGCATGGACAAATCAGTCTGTGAACTGTAGAGCCCACAGGAGCAAACCCAGCTGGTCAGCCCAAGTTTCATGACAAAAAGCATCATAAAGGCAACAAGAGATTTATATGGAAAGAGCTATCAGGAGATATTGGAAGTCACTGTGCTTTCTATAAAGAAAGAACCATCTCTGAATGCAGAGCTTGATGCAAATCCACAAGATGACAGCCTTGGGCTCAGATCCAGGAACACACTTAACTACTCAGGGCAATCTAATCTTGTGTTTAAAGTCTTCCCTCCCCAACAAGGTAATTCAGATGTGTTCCTGTGTGATGGATCTTAGTAAAACATAACACCAGGTGTGGAGCAGGAGTGTGTGACAAACCCACAGCCCTGCACAGGGGCAGTGCCACCACTCACCATAGTCTGTGTCATCAGCAGCCCAGCTCTGCACCGGCCAGAAATAGGGGGTCTGCAAGGCAAGGAGCCTCCTGTTAGTGCACAAAGGCCCTGAACTCATGGACTCCTCATTCCAAGCACCAGGAATTTCCTAATTTCCCAAAGCAGTTCCAACCACGAACCTCGACACCATCCCGTTATTACTGTGCTTTTTGTATATTCATTATTCAGGGCCCCCACATCGTTCTGTTTCCAACCAGCAATTCCATTTGCTACTTTAAGACCTGGAAAGGAACACTCCTTGGAGGAAAGCACAGCTATTTTTAGGTTGAACAAGTACACTCATTTCATTGAAGAAACTATCAGAGTTTCCCTGTAAAGTGCAATCTCTGCCTTCTCTGTGCAGACTTCTCTGAGTCTTCTTCCACCTGCACAGCTGCACAGCTCCTGGGAACTGCCCCTGCTTCCTGTTTTTAATAAAAACTAGTGCTGAACTCCCTCTCAACAGCTCAGAGGAGCTGCAACTCACTTGAAACCTGTAGAGGCTGCCGTCTGCCTTAAGGGTGAGGTTCTTTGGCTCCTGAAGAGGGTAGATATATCCATATTTGACAAACAGGTCTCCCAGGTGGAGTGCCTCTGAAAATGGAGAATGCAGATGTTTTCATTGCACAGAAACACTTTGCTGGAATTAAAAGTGAGCTCTTGTGCAGGGGAGAATTCAGCTAAAAGGTTTTACCTCTTGAGATCTTAGTTTTACAACTGAAAGCTGAGAAAGCCTCAATTTTCACATTTTTACCCACCTTCCGCAGTGATCTGCAAGCGCTGAAGAATCCACTGCATTATATCAACACCTGCAAAGCAAAGCAAAGCTCAGGTACTGAAATCAGGAATGTGCCCAAACCCATGGGTGGAAAGGAGATCTCTCCAGACCTCACTGTGCTTTGGATCCCACCGGGAGCACAGCCCCCTTTTTCTGCAGATGTGCTTCCAGCTGCAAGGAGGCACAGATAAAACACACTGCTGGGCTCCCAGGGGCTGTGCTGGCACCTCCCAAGGCATCCAGCCCTGGGAGAGGGAGCCTGAGGCAGGCAGTGACCTTGGGCTGGCACACAGGGAGTGTGCACCAGCGCACGCGGCCTGAGCAACATCCAAACCCTCAGCAGCAGCTTAAGAAAGGGTTTAAGGATGAAACAGCTTTCACACCCAGGGAAGGGGAGAGTTAGTTCCACCTTGCCTGGAAAGATTCACTGCAAAGAAGCTCCAGATTCACAGAGCACAGTGCTGTCTCAGTTTTGTAGAAGACCACTGACTGATCCTCTGAGAGTCCTTTAAGGGGCAGAAGGGATGCCCAAATCTCAGATCCAAGCTGCAGTGGTTACAAGATTTATCAAAGATTCACACACATTTTAACTCTCCTGGTTCTTTTCTTGGACTATGAGCAGTTTTACCCATTGGCAGCATAAACCTCCAGCAGTTTTAATTTTAGGTTCTGGGGGGTAAATATCATGAACCTCCTTCCATTTGAAGAGGGCAAAAATGCACTTGTTCCCTGATCAATTACTGGCCTTTTCCTCCAAACCTCCTCCAGGACTGCAGACTGGGGTGTTGACCTTTCTTGACATTGCAGTGATGACTTAACTTTCTAATAGGGGCTCAGAGCTCTTATCCTACTGCCTGCTTCCTGAAATAGATGAAATTAAAGGATTATCTCATCACTCATTTCTAGACAGCTCCCTCTGTAAGCACTTTCCCCCAAAGGTGCACATTTAACATCGAGGTTTATTTGTGAGCCATTTTACTGACTTTCACTGAATTTAACTAGTTAGCTTCCTGCACAGGCAGAGCCAGGCTCTCTCCAATGATCTGTGTCCCCTGCTTCAATATCCTCACCACACCCTCATCAAACATGAATCAGTCTCTTTTGCAACACCCAGCAGCCAGTCAGCACTAAAAATACCAACTAAGAGAGGGATGACCAGCACACGGGGGAGTGGAAGTCACCTTCCTCTCAGAGGTGGAGCAGAATTTATGACTCGTGCAAGATGGAACTGGCAGCAGTTGTAGATAAGGAAGCAGAGTAAAGCAGACAGCACACAATGAGGGGCAGTGCCAACACACCCCACACCCGTGGACTTTTAGGAAGTGGGATTTGGGCAGACATCAAGAGAAGTTCTCATTCCCCTGCACTTCATCCGTGTGGGACGTCATCCTCAGCATGGGGAATCTCCTCTTTGTGCTGCCTTAACTATTCCCTGGCAGCTCTGGGAGGCTCCTTTGTACAGGCAAAGCCTCCACCCAGCTCAGCTGCATAACAGCTATGTGAGCCAGGATGTGGTTTGCACTGCAGTGCACGGAGAGCAGGCTTCAGATGGATCCAAGCTCTCCTGACCCTTCCACTGACTGGCTCTTCCTATGGGCAAGTGACTTCAGTGCCTCTGCAGCCTTGTTTTTTTTAAAAAAATGGGGCAAACAACACACTGGGCTTAGCAGGCTTTGCAAACAGTGGAGAAAATCTCTTGACTTGCCTGGAGCAAGCTCACTGGTTTCAGTGGGAGTTTTTGTTCTGAATTTCAAAGTGCTGAAGAAAGATCGAAGCAGGAGGAGGAAACTTGGGTATGGAGTATGTGTGAATATTTATAGCAGAGGATTCCTCACAAGAGCTTCTGTGGAGGCTTGGAGAACAGGGGAGCAGAGGTACTGATATGCCTGGTGAAAGGAGGAGCAGGCACAAGGAGGCTGTGATAAGAGCTGCCTGTAACACTGTACATGACACAGCACAGCTCCTGTCTGCTGCTCCTTCAGCCTCCTTGAGGCAGGCAAAGCTGTCATTTACAGGCACAGAAGTGGGTTGAATATTTTGTTCTTTTCCTGCCTACTCAAGAAAAATTATTACTAGCAGTAAACATTAAAAGGGAGACTAATTGTTTATTGCTCATTTCTGAAGTACCATCTTTCAGTCTGCCTCCAGGCTGCTTGTTTTAATTGGATTTTAATATTTATCTTTATTTGTGATCCAGCCTCACTGGGAGCATGAGATCTGGAGGCTGCAGCATGTCCTCACCTCTGTGCTAAGAGAAGGCAAGGTCACTTGAGTTAACCCCCATGAGACAGCTGAAAGTGCCTGGGGATCAACCTTTGGGTCTGATTCAAAGAGCAGGAATGAAACGAGACAGGAGTGAGAATGAGATAAAGGGAGCAGGTACATTTCAAGTGATGTACAGCTGATATTCATTGGGAATGGAGCTCCAGCACGCAGCCAGGCACTGACAGCCCTGGGGTCTAGACACAGCTTTTCTCTGCTGAGCTGGGCCCAGCTCCCCTCAGGGAAGCTCTTACCTGTCACAGCGTGGGGGATGTTGGCGATCATCACCGTCTGTGTCTGCGTCTTGATTCCCGTGTCCGGGTTCTGCATCTCCATCATGAGTGTTTCGATCTGCAAAGCAGGGGAGGGGATGGATTTCAGGAGCCCTGGGAGCCAGCATTCCAGAGGGGTGGGCACTGGTGTGCCACAGCAAAGCATGCAGTGGCCACAGCCCTCTCTGAACCTCCCCCTGGCACCAGAGATGCCACCTCCAGCCCATGGCAGCTCCCACTGCCACAGGACACTCACAGAGCCAGGGCTAGCACAGGAGGGACAGGAACCACTCTGCAAGAGCTAAGGAAAAATATATAAATAAAATCTCTGCTACCCATAAAGGTTCCTCTCTGGCTCACTGGGCACTTAGAAAGAAAAATGGGGAGGGAATAAAATCTGTGCTTCTGCTAGGTGGTGCAGAGGTGTGTGAGGGGCTCTCTGAGCATTCCTGTGCAGGGGGCTGTGCTCCCCACCCAGGTCTCAGCCCCTCCAGGGATGGGGCAGGGACATCCTTTCTGGAAACATCTCCTGCCTGGGACTCCTCAGGGATCCTGGGGACTCATTTGTAACAGAGGATGAGTCACACTCAGGGCCAGACAACTTCTATTTCTCATTCCCAATTATCTTTATTTCTTTTTAAAATATAAAGATTTTCAAAGGTATTCTCCTCCTCTTTGAGTTCCTACCAGCACCATTCCAAAAGCACAAAGCTGCTGCTTTCACCTGGGATCTGTGCTCAGATGGATGGAATCAGAACACAATCCTCATCTTGTTTTGGATTCTCTGAGTGCCATGAGAGCTTTGGGGAAGATGTTCTTTTTGTCTTCTGCTTCCAGGGATATTAAATCAAAGCTGGTCCAACAGGACCAATTTGGTCTCTCCACACATTTGTTTTGGGTGAGGCTGTAGCTTTCAAACGGAGAGGAGAGGATTTAACGAGTGTGACTTGATGACACGCACACATAATGGAGGGTATTGTCTTCACAGGCACCACAGTGACTTTGGTCCCAAATCTTGCCAAGTTCTGTGAGGATTTAAGCTGTAGTGACAGGATACACTCTGGGCTTGTCAGTAAAACTGGATTTTCAACTGCTTTTAAAGGCAGTGACAAATTAATGCTAAAATGGAGAAGCCTGGTAAAATTTAACATAAATATTTGTATAAATACTTATAAAATATTTTAAAAGAGCAAAGCCAGACCAGAAGTGACAGAATATGAAGACATTTTTTTAGGTCTTTTAACAGAACTCACAATTTCAGCCTCAGAAAGTTCAACTGTGTGGGATGAGGTGAGGCAGGATGGTCCAGCAGGCCAGGCACTCATTTAGAAAACTGGGATTGTCAGGGAACATCTTGGGAAGTCACTCCTTGTGACTGCACAGCCCCTTCACAGAGAACAGAGATCCTGGGGACAAGCACAGCCCTGCTCATCCCCCTGCACCAGCGACCACCCAGCAGATCCCACCGAGATCCCCCAGGCTCAGGCAGGACTTGTTCCAGGCGGGCAGCACAGCACATCCTGCTCCAGCACGCAGCTGCTGGTCCCAGGTGGGCTCCAGAGACACATCTTCAACCAGCTGAGAGCAGGGAATTGGCTCAGAAAGCCCCACAGCCCCTCAGCACAGCACGTTCCCTTCCTTTAACCAGTGACTCCAACTCTCGTCGTGTTCGTTCCCTGCCACACTCCCTCTTTGTCACTGGAGAAATGACAAATACATTAAAAAGCAAGGGGCTGCTCTTGGGGAGTGCCTAGCTCTGGCTTCAAACCATCCACCTTGCTGATCAAAACTCAGCCTGTCTGTGTCTCTTCTCCCAAGGGAGCAGTGGATTACAGCGATCAGGAGTTGCTCTCAGCAGCAGCCTGCCAGAGGGAGGCCAGGAGGGCTGCTTCAGACACAGCAGGAACACTTCCTTGCTTTGCTAAGGGCATTTTGTCGTGCTTTCAGCCAGGAAAGAGCTGTCTGGTTTGAATTTTGCAGAACCAGAAGCCACTTCCTGACTGGTTGATGGGTGGAGATGCACACAGAGGTAAATATCAGGACTGCCAAAGGAGCCAGGCTCCAGAGCTCATCTCACGCACAAGCCCCATGGAGATTTCACTCCAGATCAGCTGGACTCCCTGCCTGGAGGTGAATGCACCCTGAAAGCCACGCAGGACACAACAGGAAAACTGTCTGTCCCCTCTCTGATTGCACCCTGGGTGCAGGTCCCATCCCTGCTTGCCTGAGCTTTACCCTTTGGACACCCACAACGCAGCAAAAACAAACTTCTGGTGCTGAGACTCAGAAATGTAACAGCAAAACGCTGCCAAGGTGAGGAGTTCAGGCCTCCTCAGCATCAACCCAGAGACATCTTTGCTTCAGACATAAGAAAGATCAATTTTCCCAGCAGGAATTTCCAGTTCCCAGCTGAGTGCACAGTCCTGGTGCTGTAATTAAACATCTGCTGCTTTCTCCATTGTATTTGCCTGGTTCTATCCCCCCTCACTGCCTGCTGATCTTTGCAAGGATCAGCCCTACCTGATCTGATTTCCAAGGTAACAATACAGTCCTTATCCCCACTCTGGCCTCTGAAGGCTCATTCAATTGTTTTCTAGGTCTACAACTATCAATCTTGCTTTGTACATTGATAGATGATCAGAAAAATAGAAGAAATGAAAAAAATCCACTGTTAACCACCTAGAATTTCCTGCTTTTTCTTAATTAAAGCTGAGGAGAAGTGGCTTGATCCCACTCTGATGCCTCAGCTAAAGGAAGTAAATCTGTGAGTGGGGAAGGCAGGGCTCTTCCCAGTCTGGAGGGGATTTTTTCCAAAGATGTGTCACTGGCATCTCCCAGCCTGGAACAGGGAAAAGGAGGATAGAATGAGGCTGAGCTTGACCTAAGGCTCAGCTCAGGGCCTCGCTTAGAGAGCAGGAGTCTGCTGGATTCCAGCAAAAACACAGTTCAGGTGCTCAGACACTTCTGGAAATGCCCAGGAAGATGAAGGCCAGCAGCTGGAAAGTCTAAGCCTAGAGAAGCAAAGCCAGGCTGGAAAAGCCCCCAGCCCATGCTGCAGACCCTGGAACAGCTCCTCCCTGGCTGCTGCACAGCTTGGGAGAAGCCACCAGGGACCAGAGTGAGGAGGAGGCAGAAGAAGAAGGCATCCATCAGCCCTACCCACAAGGTGTGAGTCACGGTGCACCTCCCGTAGCACAGCAAGGGAAAATACCCAGCTCAGCAGCTGCTGGAGAGCAGAGCCCAGCTCTGCCAGCTGATGCCCAGCAGAGCCAGATCTGACTGCTGGAGCAGGCACAGGTATCAAGAGCTTGGGTTCATTCAAGCTCTCGCAGCATCCAGCCAAGTGTATCCAGCCAAAATGCATTTCAGAGGCTTGCTCGCTATCCCAACAGACTTTTGGGTCATTCTTCTTCCAGCCAAGATGGTTTAGAAGGGGGGAAAAAATAGAATAAAACAAGCTAAGTGCTAGCATGATGAGCAGGTGTTACAGGGCCCTGGGGGCCTCTGATCCCATCATAGTTGGGCCGTAAAGACCAAGCTCCACATCCAGCCCGGGTCGTTCAGAGCAGCCTCACAGCAACACAGCCCCCCACCCCTACAGCAAACCCCTGTCCCATGGCAGGATTGCTGCTGTGGTCACCAGCTCCATGCTGGAGAGGCAGCACAGGGAGGTGCTGGCAGCTGGGAAGGCACAAGGGGCCCAGGGGCTGCAGGAATCCCTCCCTGCAGCAGCTCAGGCACAGCGTGTGTGTCAGCTGGCAGCAAAGCGTGAGCACAGGCTTAAGCAATTAACAAAGCTTCTTTCTAGGATTTTAGCTCCTCATGGGTCTAAGCCTGTAAGGTGCTCGCTGGGTGCACGCTGAGCACCCTCAGCTGCCACCATGGGCCACCAGGAAAGGTGCCTGGCGTGTCCAGGCATCTCTGAGGATGTGGCTGTCTGCACACAGACCACACTGCCATGGAACAGCTGAGGCTCCAAACACGGCTTCTCCAAGGTCTGGAAAAAACAGAGCAGGAATGAAAGTAGAGACAAGAGCCAAGGGCTTTCGCTGACCACCGGGAGCTTCCCTTCCCACTGCTGACAGGTCCTAGACTCACAAAGCACTGCAAGCGCTCAGCCCCCCTGGCTGCTCACAGTGTGAGTGGTGCACACTCTGTAACAGCCATTCCCTGTGTTTTGACTGATCTTCCCACCTGAGGAACTCGGAACACTTTGCAGAGACTGCTGCACTCCCACGGAGCAGCTGAAGCACAGCTGCAGGCGGCTGTTTTCTCACAGCACGCAGCTTCTCCTCTGCACCCCCGCACGCAACTCCACCGAGTATTACTCAGTACAGATTTTGGCCTGGAGTATTTCCCTTGGCAGGGCTCCCCAGCCAAATTTACCGTGCAAGACATAGCACCAAAGAAAATACCTTCTTTACTTCCTCTGGTGTAATAAGTACAGTGTATGTACTGCCAGGTTCATACCTCAGCATTGAATATCCTCAAATTCCCCTCCCTTTACCCCTGGAATCCTCCTTAGGTTGTGGGCGTTGAGGAAAACTAACTACAACTCAAACAGCAACTTGCTGGCTGTACTTGTCACTGGAAATTCAGTTAATTCCATTCAACAGGATAAGCCACACTCAGGAGAGGTGGGTGGGAGAAAAGCTAGCTTAACACTCTGCTTTTTAAAATCTGCAGATACCAGCTACACTACAACTGGCTATGCTTTGAATGAATGCTACAGAAAAAGCCCACCAAATGCTTTACGAAATTACACATTACACCCAAAAGCGTGGGCATACATCATCCCACTCCTTCTACTGCTTCTGGCCACAAATACACTCATTTCTGAAAAACTGGAAGGAGGTGGAGAACAGGCAGTTGACTGTAATACACCCTCTGAATGTGGACATCACTGAAGGCACTGGGAGCACACACTGGACCGACCGGAGCAGGGCTACACTGGTGCTGCAAATGATGGGTTTTTCCCTGGGAATGGATGCAGCTTTGAGGGACTTTGAAAAAAAATAATGGAAGAGGGAGAAAACGTGTCAGGGGAACAATTCGGCTGAGATAAGCTAGAGATGATAAACAACATTACAGTCCTATTTTCTCCATCCCTCCAGCCTGCCCCCCGAGCCACCTGGGATGCACAGCTCTCTGCAACAGGTCATGATGTCCCCAGAGTCCCGGGGAGGGGCTGTTATCCCTCGGACCCCACACGGCCAGAGGTGCCCCGGGGAGCCGTGGCCGAGCAAGATGCTGTGCACACACATCACCCAAGCTTCGCCAGCGCTGCCCTGGCCATCGCATCGCCCCGCCCGGCCCCGGCGTGCCCATAATGGTGCGGCTGTCCCCGGCGCTGCTGAGCCCTCACCTTTTTCAGGAAGGCCATCCTCGGGCGGTAGCGCTGGCCCTGGTCGAGCCGTGTGACGGTCATGGTGGCGGTGCACGGCGGAGCGGAGCGCGGCGGCGGAGCGGGCCCGGCCGGCCATAGCGGGCTGCGGCCACCGCCACCCG